AGGGAGCTTCCAGTCCATGAGAACAATTCACATTAGAAATCTCTCTCTCTCTCTCTTTTTAAGTTTATCTATGTATGTCTCCATGACTGGAGAGAGAAACAGACAGAGGGACAGCACTTACAACAAGGCCCTGAAAGTACCGTCTGTCCCAGCGTCTGCCCGCCCTGGAGCACAGGCACGCGTGGTCCTCTCTGGCATGCTCAGAGAGGTCTGTGGACTTGAACCTTCCCTGGAACTGACTTGCAGGGCACTGGTGTTTTACCACTACCCCACTGTCTGGCGCCATATTTTATCTCTTGATGCAATTTGCAGTTTCAGGCTGGGATAGCAAATTAGAATATCCATGAAGGCCAGGTGTGAGGCGGCTGGAGGGGACAATGTGAGGCGGGGGAGAGGCTCTGGCAATGGGAGGAGGCGTGCTCTGGGCCTGGGGGGCAGGTACTCCTTAACTCCAGTTGATGTACCATGACGGAAGACGGGCCACTGTTGCCACATCTTTCCGTTTTTAAAGAAAAACTAGAAAATCTGGATTCTGATGTGAAATCCCTTGATTCTTAAAAGTTGGCTTCCAAAATGAGATTTTTAAAAAAACATAGTGCTGGCCAAAATTGTCCAGGCCAAACAAAACACATCTGCGGATTGGGTTTATCCCAAGGTTGCAAGTGTATAACTTCTGTTCTAGAAATCTGAGCAGTAAAACAACTATTTTCAGGTTTCAAAATGTATTATATACCCACATTTTGTATCTGGCAGTATGACCACAAAACTAGTAAAAATCCTTTATACGCGTATAGAAATGTTGAAAAAAATACACATTTTTGTCCCCTCACCCTCAAATTAAAAATACAGAGTTTAATTCAAAGGAAAGAAAGGCAAATTGCCATGATCAGAAGAGAATAAGGAACGTAAACTCGTAGCACTAACCATGCGGAGTACATTGAAACTGGGGTGAGATTGAAGGGCCAGGGGCTGATGTTATATGCCCAGGTAGGTCCCGGAGATGTGGCCTTGGTTTCATGATGGACAGCAAGTAGAGACCAAAATCCTGCATAAAATGAATGCCCTCCTGGGGACCAAGAGGTGGCACAGTGGTTAAAGTACTGGACTCTCACGTGGCTGACCACAGATGGAGCTCTGGACCTGGCAGCTTGAAAATCATGCTAGGTGTGTGTGCGTGGTTGCCTGAAATACTGGGAGGAGAAGGGATTGTGGCATGGCCATCCCCCTGGGACGTGGTGATTTTTCACTTTCCCTCTTTTAGTCTCTCTGCATCTCTCAGGCTAGCACATGTGCCCTATGACAAAAACCCTAAAAAAAAAGAATGTCCTCAAAGGGCTCAGAGAAGTGGCAAGAAATCTTCCTATCTCTCTTAGGCTGTCAATGGGGACAAGAAAATCCTCTGTGAAAAACTAAATCCCAAAGCTTGTACCTCATGCAGTTGTGAGTTTTAAAATTATACTTCCTGTACATGGAAATTCAAAACTGAGAAATTAACACAAAAATTGATCTGGAACCCATAGAATCCCAAGAGTCTTGGGAAAAAAAAATATGCAAAAAGGGTCACACACATGATGCAGGGCATATGGGACTCCTGTGAGAAAAGAATAATCTTGCCTCAAAGTGAACTTAACATAAAAATATTAGAAATACAAAACATCAATCTCTGAGGGAGAATCAGCAGACACAACAATTTGGAGAATTGATACCTCGAGATATAGAAAGACTTAAACAATCTGAAAGAAATTATAATATGACTGAAAAGTGAATAATGAGCCAAAGCAAGAATTTGAAACTATATTAGGGGAAAAAATAATCAAAAACCAGGATGATTGAAATAAAAAGAAGGCAGGTTTTAAAAGCACTAACTAGCTCTTCTATAAATGATAATGTATTTGTTGAAACTGATATGACATAAATAGTATGTTGAACACAACTGGAGAGAGAATAAGGAAGTAGAAAATAGGTCTAAGAAGACCATACAAATTTTAGAACTGAGAGAGAAAGATATACAATGTGGAAAAAGGTGAAGAGACATGGAGGATAAAATGACAATGTTCAACAAGAATTCTAGATGAGAGAACACTCATGGATAGACTTGGAAGAGGCCATTGTCAAACAAATAGTGAATTAGAATTTTCTGTAACTGAAAGAAAGGGTAAAATTTCAAGAATTGCACTGAGTTCCAAAGAAAGAATTAAAACAAACCACATCTAGACCATTAAAATGATGGGGAACTCTAAAGACAAAGAACAAAAGAAGGAAAACAAGAGATGAGACAGATAATTTATAAAGGAATGACCATTAAACTCAAAAGCTATCTTTCTCTGGCAGAAATGAAGTTGACAAGGCATTGTAATTCTGTCTTTGAAGTGCTGAGGAAAAGATACCTGTCAACTTAAAATTCTCTATGTTCCGAACTAAACTTTATCTCTAGGGTGATAACAAAAGATATTTACAGTTAAAGACTGAGAGAGTTTATCATTATCATGAATTAACTGAGAAAAAGTCAAAGACCTAAATATAAGAGCAAAAACCAAAGACCTCTTCAAAAAAAACACAGGTATGAATCTTTCTAATTTGAAGTTAGGCTATGGTATGACATTAAAAGAACAAGCAACAAAAATTTAAAAAACAGATTAATTAGACTTAGTTGAAATTAAAACTGCTGTGCTTCAAAGGACGCTATCATAAAAGTGGAAAGAGAACTTGCAGAATGAGAGAAAATATTGAGTCACTGGGAAAGTCATGATGAATCTTTCTATGTTTTTCTATGCAAAAATACGTCATGACTTTTCAGATGACCCAATATTTGGAAATCTAATAAGAGTCTGGTATTTGGAATACATAGATTAGTTAAAACACAACATGAAATGACAACCCAATCAAGACATAAAGGATTCAAATAGGTATTTCTCTGAAGAAGATATATAAATGGCCTATAAGCACAGGAAGAGATGTTTGTCATTAGAGAAATGTAATTCAAAACCGCAGTGAGATGCCACTTGGTATCATCACAATGACTATAACCAAAAGGATCGGCAATGATAAATATCAGCAAAGGTGTGGAGACAGTGGGGACCTGGTGGAACTGCTGGTGAGACAGCGAAATGGTGCCACTACTTCGGTCCTCCAAACGGTAGACCTAAGAGTCACTGTATGACCCAACAAGTTCTCTCCTCAGCATATACCCTGAGGCGAGAAAACATGTCCACAAACATGTTTATAGCAGCGTTATTCAATAATAGCTAAAAGATAGGATCAAGCCCAATATCCGTCGACTTAGAAATGGGTGAACAAAAGGGGTCTGTCTCTCCTGCAATGGAATATTATGCAACCTTATGAACCGCTGAGCTAATTCATGCTGCAGTGTGGGTGAGCCTTGAAAACATTCTAAGTGGAAGGAGTCAGGCAGTTTCAGGTATGGGAGTTATCCAGAAAAGGCAGCTCCATAGCAATGAGGGAGAGTGGTGGTTGTCAAGGACTGTGGGGAGGAGCAATGGGGGGCGACTAGGGTGTTTGGCCTAGTGTGTCCTTTTGGAGTGGGGAGCAGTAATAGCCGCATAACCTCATGAATATCCCCAAACCACTGTGCACTTTCAAAGGCTGAATATTATGGCGTGCACATTATATATCAATTGTTTTAAAGAAAGAAGAAAAGCTGGGCCAGCCAGTAGGATGGTGGTTAATGTGGCTGGATCCCACATGGCCTAGTTCTGGACTCGGTGGCTTGAAATGCATGTTGAATGCATGTGTGTGAGTGCTCAAAATCCTGAGAGAAGAATGGATTGTGGGGTAGTCTCCCCCCCCGGGGGGGGTTCTCACTCTCTCTCTCTCTGTCTCTCTGGCAAGTGCATGTATCCTATAGCAAGTTAAAAAAGAAAGAAAGGAGAAAAGCTAGGAAGAAAGTACCCTTTAAATGAATGAAGACAGAAGGAAGTAATAAAGTAAATAAAATTAATGAGGGACCAGCAGTTGACGTAACGGCTATGTCATTGCACTCCCACGTAGTCGACTATGGTTCGAATCCTGGACCCGGTGGCTTAAACTCACGCTGGGTGTGTGTGTGTGTGTGTGTGTGTGTGTGTGCGTGTGTGCCCAAGATCACAAGAGGAGAATGGAGGAGAAGGGACTGCGGTGTGGCCATTCCCCCAGGGGTGATTTCTTGTTTTTTTTGTCTCTCTGTCTCTGTCTTTCTGACAAGTACACGCGCCCTATAGCAAAAACCTCTCCAAAAGAAAAAATAAATAAATAAATAAATACAATTAATGAAATAAGCAAAAATGAAAAGGAATGGCAAAACTGAAAGGTGATTTTCAGGAACAACAATGACCATAAAAACCCACCAAAAAACAAAAACAGAAACTAAAGAGAAAATGCTCCAAATGATGTGGACCCAACCCTGCAGTGGCCAGAGGTTCAGTCTTTATCTCTCTACCTATGCTGTTTCCAGGGCCCGAACTCTTGGACTCAGAACCTTCAATCCAGCCTGTTTTCTCCCACATTCCTGTCTGTAGGGTCTAGCTGTGCCGAGAGACTAGGAAGAACTAGGGGCTTGTTAGAGGCTTTGCTTTTCCCAGTGTCACAGACACGTTCTTTCTTGTGTGGTCCAATTATTTCAAAATCTACCACACTGGCAAGGGGTCCACTCAGCCTGTTTCCCCAAATGGCCATGGCACTGGAAGAAAGCACACCCCTTGGTCAGCCCCCCACAAAGGACCATGAGTTTTCCCGGCCCACCTGGTTCTGTGGCCCCTGGGGTCTTCGTCAAGGTTCCAAACAGCCAGGCTCACTCCCATCATCGGCCCTTACATGTACTGCACACACTCCTCCTTGCCAGGAACACGACAACCCAGGTGTTCAAAACCCTGGACTAATTGAACACCCTGTTTAGGGCACATGTTTTAACATTCCCTTTTGTGGATTTATGAATGATATGATCCTAACTGTAATGTGCAGAAGAAGCAAAAAGCAAAAATCATGGTAACCTGGCTGTCTTGCAGATGGGAAGGAGAGCGCTGTGCTTCTGCCCAGCCCTGGGGCCTCCAGTGCCACAGCGGAGACCTTCTCCCCTCGGGTCCGAAGAGCCACGACCTCCAGGACAGAAAGGATATGGCCCGGAGGGGTCATCCCCTACGTCATCGGAGGGAACTTCACCGGTCAGTAACCCCAGTGAGGCGTGCTGGGGGCTAGGGGCCTTGTCTCCCTGGGTTAAAAGAGTCTTCCTGGGAAAGACTTAGGTGGGCTTGGGGGGATGCCTTGGGCCACAGCATCCTACCCACTGGGGCTCCCTTGTGCCTACAAGGCCTGGCCCACCAGGCCCAGGGCAACTGCAGTTTGTTTTCCAGAGATAGTTGCCGTGTTCTCAACACTCAGGTAGGAGGTCTTAAAAATAGGGTTTTCAGGACCAGTGGTTAGCGTAATGGCTATGTCGCTGGACTCCCACGTAGTCGACCACGGTTCACGTCCTGGACCCGGTGGCTTAAAACTCACGCTGGGCGTGTGTGCATGCGTGCCCAAGATCCCGAGAGGAGAATGGAGGAGAAGGGATTGCGGTGTGACCATCCCCCCTGGGGGGCGATTTCTCGCTTTCTGTCTCTCTGTCTCTCTCTGTCTGTTTGGCGAGCGCACGCGCCCTATAGTGAAAACCTCTCCAAAATTAAATAAATAAATAAATAAATAGGGTTTTCACAATGGCTTTGGACAAGCCTCTAGGCCAAAGGAAGCTCGTGAGCCACACATGGTGGCTCGCCTCTCTGCGTGGACAAGCACCCTGCACTTGGTGGTCTGCTGCAGCCACACACCCCGGAAGTGCCCGCACGGTAGAGCAGGTCGGTAGATGTGGCATGACTACCTGGTCCTCCCTGGCTCCAGCAGGTATGGGCCAGACAACCTGGGGCAAAGTATCAGACCCTCCCTGCCTCAGCGCCTCTCCTGTAAGTGTGGATGATGGTACTTTCTACTCTGTAGAGTTGTTTTGAGGATGAAATGAATTAATATAAAGGGACCAGCAGGTGGCATAGTGGTTAGGGAGTTAGACTCCCATGTGGTCGACTGTGGTTTAAGACCCGGATCCAGGGACTTGAAACTCAGACCAGGTACATGTGCCTGTGTGCTCAAAATCCTGAGGGGAGAAGGGATTGCAGCGTGGCCATCTCCCCAGGGGTGATTTCTCACTTTCTGTCTCTCCAGTGAGTATACACACCCTATAGCAAAAATCTCTCTTTCAAAAAAAAAAGAATAAAGAATTAATCTAAATAAAACATTCAGAATTGTCTAGTGTATAGTAATTAAGAAGTATCTGCAATTGATATTATTATCTTTAAAATACATAAATCACCATGACTTCCCATTGCCACTAGAATGAAATGGAGACTACTGGCCACAGCCTGCAAGGAGCTGCCCAGGGCGCCCTGGCCTCCCTCTCCTGCCAGTCCCCTTCCCCTCTCCACTCCCTCCCCTCTCTCCTCCATCCCTAGCTCTGTCCTCACCAGCCATCTTTCCAGCCCACAGGCTCCTCAGTACACTTGCACTCACACTTGCCTTCTGTCTGCCTGGAATGTTCTTCCCCAACCTTTGCTTGGCCGGCTTTTCTCACTGGAGTCCCAGGTCAAGAGATGCGTCCACAGAAGTCCTTCGCCAGCTCCCTGGCCCCCACCTGCTCCCCTCTATTCAGCCCCCAGATTTAGAACAGTTTCAGCATTTCCCATAGCTGGAAATGATCTTACTAATATTTTTATTTTATTTATTTGTTTCTGCTCAAGATCTGTGGGAGCAGGAATCGTTTTCCTGTCTCGTTTTCCCTCCTCTATCTCCAACACCCAGGGCAGGGCTGGCACCCTACAGACAGGCCATAAGCCTGCAGGCAGCGTCAGCTGAAGGCGCGGGTGAGAACACACCGGGCGACTCTCGAGGTCAGGCCTTTACTTCCCTGTGGCTCTCTGCCTTCTGCCATGCAAGATGCCCAATGAAGGCAGGTGCCTGGAGGACTCGCTCAAACTGCTAGAATAAACCACTGGTGGGTAACCTGGTGAGGCATGGTGGTGGCCTTCACCACAGGTACCTAGAGCCAGGAGAGCCCGGAGCACTCCCGACCGCCCCTGCTCTCTCCCCAGGAGGATATCCACTCAGTTCCCTTTTGCCCCCACACAGGAGCTCAGCGCGCCCCAGGCCAGGCACTTCATGAGGTGCTGGGGGTGAAAGGTGAAGAGTGTCCGACCTCGCCTTGGGCCAGCCCAGCCTCGAGCAGAGCAAGGTGGTGGCCAGAGAATTAGAACGTAGGGAGTGCAGACAGCCAGGGACGGGTCCTCGTTCTCTCTCCTGTGTGCTTCCGGACCAAAGGTTCATGTTCCTTTCGTCCAATTGAACCAATTTTATGACTTCTATATTAGAGTTTTGCCTGGGGGTTTTCTGTAACTGGCGGGGTAGCTCTTTTGGTGAGTGAGCTATAAACAATTTGAGTCAAGAATGTCGAAATGCCGGGACCAGCAGTTAGCGTAATGGCTATGTCGCTGGACTCCCATGTAGTCGACCGCGGTTCGTGCCCCGAACCCGGTGGCTTAAAACTCACGCCGGGCATGTGTGCATGAGTGCCCAAGATCCCGAGAGGAGAACAGAGGAGAAGGGATTGCAGTGTGGCCATCCCCTCTAGGGGGTGATTTCTAGCTTTCTGTCTCTCTGTCTCTGTCTGTCTGGCGAGCACATGTGCCCTATAGCAAAATCCTCTCCAAAAGAAGAAGAAGAACGTTGAAATGCCAAGAAAAGCGGACAGCTGAGTTTCTCTCTATCCGGGGCAGCATGACACCATGCCCACGTCTTCCAGACCATGAAGGGCCCCTCCCTCCAGGTTACGTTTCGCTTTGGGTTGTTACTGTTGTTTTCAACATTCTAAACTCAGCCCTCCTTTCCCTGCCGGCCTTTGCATTTCCCAAACAGCTATTTTTCCTACACCTTCTTATTATTTCTGGCAAGATGACAAGCGCTTCCCTTCGGTTGAGTTGATAGATTTTGAAAAGAATACTTACTGACTATACGTAACTTCCAAACTGGATTTCATCATTCAGCCGATTTCCAATCAAGGAAATATGAAGACAGGGTCAGAGAATGTAGGGAATTCACCTGTTTTCAAAGACCTTGTGGAAAAGCAGGCCCAGGGCTTCCTCATGAGACACTGAACCCATGCAGAGTGCATGAGTTCTGTGCGGGTAGAACTTCCAGAGTGTGCGGGGCTCCTCCCACGGGGAGATGCACCTCTGGGTGAACACCGCACCAGCCAGCTGACCGCCCTCTTCGGCAGCCTGCGGCTTCCAAACTAATGTCCCTGGGGAAGGGTTTTAAAGTTTAGGAAAGTATCTTAAATGCAAAGGACAAGTTGGGAAGCCCTGGATATTTGGGGAAAAAACAAAAACAGCTTCACTCTCTCTTCCAACTCACGCACGCTTACGGTCGGCAGTTTGGGAAGCTGTATGTTTAGCAAGGGAAGTCCTTGTTTCTAGTGTATTTTTATTCTGGGGCACCAGAACAAGTGTTTTTTTTTTGGGGGGGGGGAGAGATTTTAGCTATAGGGCGCGTGCACTTGCCAGACAGAGAGAGACATAGAGACAGAAAGCAAGAAATCACCCCCCAGGGGGGATGGCCACGCCGCAATCCCTTCTCCTCCACTCTCCTCTTGGGATCTTGGGCACGCACGCCCACGCGCCCGGCATGAGTTTTAAGCCACCGGGTTCGAGTTTTTTTTTTTTTAATTAAAAAATTTTAATAGAAAAAATACACATTGTACGTATTCAAGGTATGCAATGTAATCATAATTTGGTATATGTATACATTATATAATTGTCATCACATCTAATTAACGATCATGTCCATCACCATAGTTACCTACGTGCGCGCGCACATGTGTGTGCATGTGGTGGGGTGGGGGGAAACTTCAATGTTGCTCTTTTACCAAATTTCAAGAAAACAATACAGGATTATTATCAAGCTTTCTCCGGCCATCAGAGCAAGCTTGGTCTTAAGCCAGAGCCATGAAGCACCTGAAGAAGGCCACCTGGGCTGAATGAGTGCTCGCCCTGTTGTTGCAGGAAGCCAGAGGGCCATTTTTAAGCAGGCCATGAGGCACTGGGAGAAGCACACCTGTGTGACCTTCATAGAGAGGACGGATGAGGAGAGCTTCATCGTGTTCAGCTACAGAAACTGTGGGTAAGTTACTGAGGCACGCCACTGCCACAGAGCCAGCGGCCATGGACCAGAGGGCTCGTGAGCTCGAATTCTCTCCATAACCCCACATATTTACAATGAGTTGTGGTTCAGAGGAGTTTAGAGGTTACGTGAAACTCTCCCTTGCCCTTAGTGAAGTCGCCATCCCGTGACAAAGCGGGTGAGTCAAGGGGATGACTCTGGGGAGACCCGTTCCTGGAGGGTCCTTCACTGGGAGGCCAGCTGAAGGCACTTGTGGAGTCTCATAAGGAGAAAGACCCTAAGCAGTGGTTAACCCCTTGGGGCCAGCGACCCCACTGAGACTCTGACGACGCACTGGGATCCATTCCTCTAGAATGGACGTACGTGTGTGAAAAATTCCCCACGCCACTTGAGGGGTTCCGTAGGCCCACAGGCTTCCTGCAGGACCCATGATACGTAATAAAAGATGGGTTATGACGAGCGATCTGTTAGCCAGCACATGTACATGAGATACACTGCCCTAGTGAGACAAAACTGAAAGTCAACTGCGTGCTCTCTATATAAGATGATTTCTGAAAATAGTGAGCCAGAGGGCCTTGAAGATGAAAGGAAAGGAGGCGTGCAGACCAATGCTGCAGGAGGAAAGCCGGGGTCGCAGTTTTAGTTACAGCTAAGGCTTTTATTGTTTTTAGTTTTTGCCATAGGGTGTGTCCATTCACCAGAGAGAGAGAGAGAGAGAGACAGAAATCACCCTCGAGGGGGATGGCCACGTTCTCTTCTCCTCCATTCTCTTAACTGGATTTTGGCCACACACACACACGCACACACACTTGGCATGATTTTCAAGCCACCAGGTCTAAGTCTTGAACCATAAAGCCCACCATCTATGGGATTCAGAGCCTTCAACTCCACGCCGCCCTGTCAACCCTGTTTTGGATTTAGAAGTCAGAAGATGTTGGGGGAATAGGAGAGACACTTTATAATGAGAAACGGTACAAGCCACGGTGAGAGTATAACTGTGTCGTAAATCTTTATGCACCAAACAGCATAGTGTTAAGAATCATAAAATAAGGCCTGGGAATGCAAGGAGAAATGGACGGAAACACCAATACATATTTATATATATATGTATATATATATATATACACACACACACACACGCACACACACTTGGCATGATTTTCAAGCCACCAGGTCTAAGTCTTGAACCATAAAGCCCACCATCTATGGGATTCAGAGCCTTCAACTCCACGCCGCCCTGTCAACCCTGTTTTGGATTTAGAAGTCAGAAGATGTTGGGGGAATAGGAGAGACACTTTATAATGAGAAACGGTACAAGCCACGGTGAGAGTATAACTGTGTCGTAAATCTTTATGCACCAAACAGCATAGTGTTAAGAATCATAAAATAAGGCCTGGGAATGCAAGGAGAAATGGACGGAAACACCAGCTACAGGAGACTTATTTCATTTCTGTTGGCCCAGGTAAATCAGTGTCAAGTTGACCAAAAAAATAAGTAGAGCTTCATAGAAGATTTGAACAGCAAAATCATAGAGTTAGTTCTACAATCTATCAACTCCTATAGACTGAGAACATACTTTTAATTTTTTTGAGAGATTTTTGCTATAGGGTGCATGCACGTGCTGGAAAAAACAGAGAGAGACAGAGAGACAGAGAGACAGAAAGCAAGAAATCACCCCTGGGGGGGAATTGGCCACTCTGCAATATCTTCCTCTCCGTTCTCCTCTCAGGATTTTGAGCACACATGCACATGTACCTGGTGTGAGTTTCAAGCCACTGGGTCCAGGACTTGAACCGTGGTCAACTCTGTGGGAGACCAGCACCTTAACCACTATGCCACTTGATGGCCCCTAACACTCTTTTTTTTTTTTTTGAGAGAGATTTTTGCTACAGGGCTCATGTACTCATTGGAGAGACAGGGAGAGACAGAGAGACGGAAAACAAGAAATCACCCCCTACAGGGGTGGCCATGCCACAATCCCTTCTCCAGTGTCCTCTCGGGATTTGGGGCATGCACATACATGCATCTGGCATGAGTTTCAGGCCACTGGGTCCAGGACCCGAATCACGGTCAATCACATGAGTCCACTACACCATCTGCTGTTCCCATCCTAACACACTTTTTGAAAGTGTTGAAGGATTTGAGAGCTTGACCACCTATTAGCCATTAAGGACATCTCAGTGGATTCCAGAAAATATTCTGATTCCAAAGCAATAAAACTGTGCATAATAAAACAAAGAAAGAATAAACTTACCCGATGAGTTAAAAGCCCCTCCCCCCACTTACAGTCCTTAGGTGTAAAGAAATCAAGGTTAAAATTGCAGACTGTCTGGGTAATAACAGCCCTACAGTTCTAAATGAAAGAGATAAGGGTGAAACGATGTCCAAAGGAAAACCCCCAGCCTGCAATATCCACATCACTAGTTAACAGTGACAGACATGGGCCCTGACATGGCGGTGTGCACAGCTAAGATGCGGTGTTCTGCAGGTGGGGACCACATGGGACCCCTGGTCCAGCCTAAAAGTTGAGCACCATGGCCGCACCTGTGGTTCCAGCTTACCTGAGAAGCTGAAGCAAGAGGGTCTCAACAGGAAGATCTTGTATAAAGAGCAAAACTGAAAAAAGAAAAAAAAAATCATTACCCCAGAAGAATAACCCTAACAATGAAAACCCAAGTAGACAAGGTAGAATATTATAGGCTAATAAATTGAAGAGTGAATTCTTGAAGTAAACAAGCAAAAACAGATAAACTACTTGTTAGCTTAACTAAAACAAGAAAGTGAGCGTGTAGAAATAGAAAAAATTAGAAATTCAAAAAAAGGAAAAATAGCCGCAGAGTCAACAGAAACACAAAAGACTAGTTTGTAGAATTCTAGGACAAGAAATGTGAAAATTAGGATAATGTGAATGACTTCAAGGTAAATAGAAAATTCTGGCAAAGATCAATCACTTTGAAAGAAATCGAAACTGGAGGCAAAAAAGCTTTCTCCTCCAAAGCACCAAATTCACAATTTTCAGATGAATTAAAAAATAGTTTTGTCTCTTTATTCCTGATAGAACACATGAGCATGCGCCTGGGAGAGAGGTGGGAGAGAGAGGGTTTGGTCCTGCTGCAGTCCCCTTCTCCAGCCCTCCAGCCTGTCACATCTCTGCCACTCACACACACGCTCAGCATGTTTCAGGCTGACCGCGCTGGGAGTCGAGCTGCGGTTGCCATGTGGACTTCACCTCCTCTCTCTCTCTCTCTCTTTTGCCAAAGGGCATGTGTGCTTACCAGAGAGAGACAGAGAGACAGAGGGAAAGTAAGAAATCCCCATGCCACATCCCTTCGCCTCCATTCTCCTTCTGGAATTTTGGGCACACCCACATGCACCCAGTGTGATTTTCAAGCCACTGAGTCCAGGACTTGAACCACGGTCATCCATATGGGGGTCCAACACCTTAATCACTACACCACCTGCTGGCTTCTCCACCGTCTCTTAAGCTACACATTACCACAGAGTCGGCCCAATAGATGAATTTCTTTAAACCTCCAAGAAACCTTTAGATTATTCTGGTACTATGTAACCTTTCAGAGCATAGTGAAAGAAGAACACTGCCAAATTACTTCTCAGGAATCACTGTGGCATCATCACCCTGAAATGGCAAGTAGGACACCCTTTCAAACCAAGAAGAGAACATTATAGACTCGTCTCACATACTAATGGTCATTACTTAAGTGTTATTCAGCGGTAGAAGGGAAGAGGAGGTTCGTCTGAGTTCACATCGACGTCAGCATTAGAAAACCTGTTCAGGTGACTGACAGGTTCAGGGAAAGAAGCTGAATTCCGAGCTCAGCAGACGTGGAAGAGCATCTGCACTATTCAGCGAGCACGTTTTGTTTTATGAAGTAGCTGCGGGCCCAGTCATGGCAAAAGCAGGAGGGTGCCACTGCCAGGGAGTGGAGCCACATGAGAGACCCAGGCTCAGTTCCCCCACACGCCTACGCAGCCCGGGCAGGTGTCTGTCTGTGTGTAGCCCTAGGTGGCTGTGGGATGGGCAGGAGGATCATGACGTGGCTCTTCCTAAAAATCCCACCTCTCAGGCCAGCAGGTGACGTGGTGGTTAAGGCGCTGGGTCCCCACATAGCCAACGGCAGTCGGCATTGAAAAATCATGCCAGGCGTGTGTGCATGCATGCCCCAGATCCCAAGAGGAGGTGGAGGAGAAGGGATTGCGGCGTGACCATCCCCCCTGGGGGGTGATTTCTCGCTTTCTGTCTCTATGTCTCTCTCTGTCTGTCTGGCAAGCACACGCGCCCTATAGCAAAAACTTGAAAAACAAAGCCACAAAATAAAAACCTCACTTCTCTCTTAAAAAAGAAGGGAACAAAAGGTACCCAGGTAACACAGGAATAGGTATCAAGAATACACCCCAAATTAAAAACTATATACCATGTATATTTTCCTATATTTATACACACATCTAAATGTACATTCCAAATCAAAAGCCAACATCTTTTTTTATTGATGACAATCCCAGCAGCATTTTTGTTAGAATTGGGAACAAACTGAAGATACATATGATCAGCTAGTTATTTAAAGTTGTGGGTTTTTTTCTTTTTTTTTGGGGGGGGGAGAGGTTTTTGCTATAGGGCGCGTGTGCTTGCCAGACAGACAGAGAGAGACATAGAGACAGAAAGCGAGAAATCACCCCCCAGGGGGGATGGTCACGCCGCAATCCCTTCTCCTCCATTCTCCTCTCGGGATCTTGGGCACGCACGCACACGTGCCCGGCGTGAGTTTTAAGCCACCGGGTCCGGGACACGAACTGCGGTCGACTACGTGGGAGTCCAGCGACATAGCCATTACGCTAACTGCTGGTTCTCTAGAAATAACACTTTGATAGTGTGCTTTGATGATATGGATCCAGGTTTCAAATATACATACCCTTTTATCCATAATCCCATTGCTGGGGATTTACCCTACCACGATCAAGTATGAGTCCAGACATTTCTGTTTTATTTTTTCTTATCGTCATTTATTCATTTTCGTTTGTATGTTCTCCTTACCTCTGTGGCTTTGTTTAAGCAACAAAAACCGAGTCAGCCTAAAGGGACCTTACCAGGAGACTGATGAAATACATGTTAGTATTATTAAAAAAATGGATACTATGGGGCCAGCAGGTGACGTGATGGTTGAGGTACTAGATCCCACATGGCTGACTCTGTGGTTCGAGTCCTAGACCTGGCAGCTTGGAAAACATGCCAGATGAGTGTGCATGCCTACCCAAACTCCTGAGGAGAGAGTGAAGAGTGAGGGATTGTAAGAAGACCATCCATCCCCCGGCTCCCCGCCTGAGAGGGATTTCCCACATTCCCCCTCTCTCTGTCTCTCTCCAGTGAGCTCCAGTGAGCTCATGGCAAAAACAATCTACAAAAAAAAAAAAAGTACTACAAAGTAAGTGGAATACTCTTGCTTTGAAAAGAATGAAGTCTATACATTCTGATAGGAAAAGGTCTCTAAGTTGAGGACTAAAAAAGGCAAGATGAAAACCAATGTACATAGTGTATTCTGTAATTTAAACGTTGGTTGTATACAGAGGTCTAAATAAATAGATCTATTGATCTCTATATACATCTATACTAAAATTCTCTAGCAGACACCCAGGAATCTGTTAGCAATGGTTATTGGATACAGCAACTGGACATGGGGCAAGCGGCCTAATATCTTTATCTTCTGTAATGTGGTCGTGTCTTTTGTTAAATGTCCGATAGAGTTTATGTGGATAGGGGGATCACGAGCTATTTTGATTTCTTTTTGTATCTCTCTATATTCGAATAATGAGTATATATTATTTGAAAAACTAAATGTGCGCAGAAGGCGGTCTTTCTGAGGCTCCTCGGTTCACGGTACCAAGGCGTGTGCTCTCTTTCCCAGTCTCTTCTCCGCAGAGACGGGGCACCTTGACGGGGTGGGGGAAGGGAGGCCATCTCTTTCCTCAGATTCTCAGGAGGACCCTCTATGGACCAAAAAAGGCCAAGGATCACGAGGCCATCTCTTTCTTCAGATTCTCAGGAGGACCCTCTATGGACCGAAAAAGGCCAAGGATCATGTACGGAGGGGATGTCTGCACTGGGCACTTTCACCTCTGAAGTCCGTTTCTCTTGGACACCTGCACACACCCACACACACAGGGTGGGGACTGCCCTTTGCTGCTGCTGTTCCTGCCCCGCTGACCCGGGTGTTGCTGCAATTGTCCAGCTGCTGTTCCTACGTCGGGCGCCGAGGAGGAGGCCCACAGGCCATATCCATCGGGAAGAACTGCGACAAGTTTGGCATCGTGGCCCACGAACTGGGCCATGTGGTGGGGTTCTGGCATGAGCACACCCGGCCAGACAGAGACCAGCACGTCACCATCATCAGAGAAAACATCCAGCCAGGTAAGGGGCCAGAAAGGGAGCCAGGAGGGAGCGAAGAGCATGCTGGGAGGCAGGGACCCTACCATGTAGGTGTTTTGTCACCAGCCCTGCCGCCGTCCAGCTGTGGCCTTCCTAGGAGGTCGCCTGCCATAGCTTGCAGGTTAGAGCAGAAGCGAAATAATTTTCCATGTTGTAAAGACCCATGAAGTCCTTCCGTGTCCTAAAGGGGACAGAATGGACCAGAGCACCATCGTGGCACCAGAGCTGAGAGGCCATAGACAAACACGAAGTTCTCTTAGCTGCTAGAATGGACCAGAGCACCATCGTGGCACCAGAAGTGAGAAGCCATAGACAAACACGGAGTTCTCTTAGCTGCCTTTGCATCATTTTGGCTGAGTTAGGCAACACTTATTTTTGAAACTAAAATACAATCAGGACACAAATATGTGTAAAAACGGTGTTTGTCCCAGAAGGATTTCGCCCATAGTCAGACTTAGGCAAAAACTATCTGCATATCCTAATAGCCAATATTGATCTGTCCCGAGGCAAATACGAAGTCCAGATTTTCTAAAAATGATCTTATGTTTAATAATTTGATACACAAGTTCATATGGAACCCCAAAGTAACTGGTTCAGTAATATGATCGCCTTTACGCCTGCTTTGAGAGCCTGCGGTGTGAAGCCTTTGGAACGGAACCTCACTGGTTTGGTTTCTTTCTTTCGTTTATTTTGCTTTGTTTGTTTTTAAACTCCAAAGTCAGAGATTTCTTGTCTTGCAATTTTTGGGCAAACAGATGGATAACTATGAATTGTTTGCAAAGTTCAAGTGGCATTTGGGAGGGGTGTTGGGTGGTGGGGTTGAGAGAACCTGGGGCAGGCTGCGAGTCTCAGATTTCCAGCCTTTGAGAGCAGCAAGAACGGGCATTGGGCATCGGCCCTGCCGGGGCGGCTGGGGTGAGGACCCTGGGAAGTCGCTGTGGGCACTCCACCCTCCACCCCTGTCAGGTGCCTGCTGGGTTTCCAAAGACCTTCACAGAGCGTTCCGTGCAGGTCAGGAGTACAACTTCCTGAAGATGGAAGCAGGGGAAGTGAGCTCCCTGGGAGAGACGTACGACTTCGACAGCATCATGCACTACGCCAGGAACACCTTCTCAAGGTCAGAGTCGCTGCGACGCCTCGTCCGTGTTTTACAGCCCTGCCGCAGGCTCGGCTCGGGCTCCTGCAGCTCCCGGAGCTGGTCTCCTCGTGCTCCTAGCACGGCTGGCCTGTCTGTCCTTGAAATACAGTGGCCTCTGGGCTGCCGTGAAATACAATCTCATCAGGGCCCTGCTAATAAGATTGAATCCCATCATGAAGCTGGCATTCCATCATGCCCTAATGTCACGGGCAGCAAACTGGAAAGGGGAAACTACCGAGAGGTCGGCGGGATAATAACTGAGAGACTCTGTGTGAAATTTCCAGCCGGCGAGGGGCTCTCCCAAAGCATGTCCTTGAGGAACTGTGATGGTGCTCACCTGTTTGGCAGAGGGCTGCTTTATTGGCAGCTAGGCCGTTAGGGCTGGGAGGGCCATAAATCCTCGGATTCATTTATAAGGGGAAGAAAATGAGGCTCCGGCCAATCGGAGGGTGCACGGGGAGCTGGGGCAGAGTGAGAACGGGGTTCCAGTCTCCTGCCTGCAGGCCACTGGTGGTGGGAGCTGGTGTACCCGGGGAGGGCTGGCCCGTTACTGACAGCGTCTGTGCCGATGAACGGCTGAGCCGCTGTGAGGTTGCTCTGCTGGACATCGGAGCGTCCTGCGGCATGTAGGCGTTTCCCCAACGACTTCCAGTTTTGAAAGTCTTCCCGCCTGGAGTTGAAGGAGGCACCCAGTACTAATGTTTTTCTCTTGCGACCTTTTCATTTTCCTCTTAAATCCAGATATTCGTTTGATTGTTTAAGAATTCCTCCCCCCAAAAAGATTTGAGGTAACTTCCATTATGTACATGAGACAAGGAAAAACAAATAGGTAAAGAATCTGGGGGAAGGGAGGGGGTGGGATGAGGGGAGAGGGCTAACTTGGAGCCTGTAATAAATTCCGTACCCGAGGTGTGTGCCCGAAGGCCGGGTGTGCTTTGTTGAGATGAGCAGCAGATCCTGCCCTGTGCTTCCCAGCAGTCATGGCAAAAAGGGAAACAGTTTCGTGGGTCTCCGTGTACATGAAGATGAGAGGAAACCACGTTCTCAAGGGCTCCTTGGTTCGTAGGTGAGGCTGTTGAGTGCTTCCTTCTGAAGAGACATGGGAGAGGACCCTGAACCTCTGCACCCCGAGATCTCGGGGACACACACGGGAGAGTCAGGACCTCTCTCCTGCTCCCAGGCCGGAGCCCTCAGCGCTCCGATGGGTGGAGTCTTGTTGAATCCGTCAACTTTGGTAGCGTGTCCAAGCGGCACCCAGGGGCAGCACAGTGTAAGGACAGTGCAGAGTCGGAAGACAGTCCTAGTCTCCGTCTCCCGTGAGCGGCCACCGAGGGAGGCAGAGAGTACCGAAAGGCGACCCCATACTGGCTAAGGCCCCACCTCCATGGGCTGTTTCCTGGCGTTCTCTGAGTACCTTCCAGCGTGAGCCTTCCACGCTGCAGTTTCTAGATGGGTGAGGGTTTCACAGGTGCGGTCTCAGTCACCGCCCTGCAGGAAACCCGAAGCTGGCATCAGAGGAGAGAGGCTCGTCCAGGCCGGAACCGAGGCTGTGTGTGGGGAGTCCTTGGAAGCCACGGCAGGGATGAACCGTCACTGCGGACGTGAGAGGGGAACGCTCACATGCGGGGTCCGGGCTGGAATGTGCAGGGAATAACCAGGCCCACCCGTCACCCCAGGTATTGTAGGGTACCGCATAGAGGGTCCTGCTGGCCCCAGTGAGAAGCCTGTCCTTTGTCCTTGTCTTGCAGCTCTCACAACTCTTCGTATTGCTTTCCTTTTTCTTTCTTTCTTTCTTTCTTTCTTTCTTTCTTTCTTTTTTTTGAGAGATTTTTGCTATAGGGTGCATGTGCTCACTGGAGAGACAAAGAGAGACAGAGAGATAGAAAGAGAGAATTTTTGCTGTAGAGCATGTGTACTCTCCAGAAAGACAGAGAGAGACTGAGACAAAAAGTGAGAAATCACTCCCTGGAGGGATGGCCATGCTGCCATCCCTCCTCCATTCTCTTCTCAGGAGTTAGGATTTGCACACACAGACACACACACACACACACACACGTGCCCAGCGTGAGTTTCAAGTCACTGGTTCCGGGAGTTGAATCGTGGCTGACTGTGAGAGTCCAGTGACGTAACCGTTACACCAACCGCTGGGCCCCCGAAGGGAGGAATTTCCGACTCTTCATACCCACAAATGTGGGGTCACTTCGTTGAGGAGAATCTGGAGGCGCCGAGGGTGCAGGAGCCGCCCTGCCTCCCGGAGCCTGCTCCATGCTGGTTACTGCTCATAACTCTGAGGTCAGAGGGTAGCTCAGGATCGCAGGCAGAGGATCTCCTGACACCAGCATTTCTTTCCTTGTTTTTATAAATCAGCAGCCCCAGCAGGGCCTTCCCACTGTGGGCTGCCCTGGCCCCCTCCAGTCTGGACCGTCAATCAGCAGCCCCAGCAGGGCCTTCCCTCTGTGGGCTGCCCCGGCCCCCTCCAGTCTGGACTGGCAGCACATGTGCACCTGGCGTGCTCAGGGAAGGCCTGGGACATGAACCCGGGCCGTTCCCATGTGGGTCTCATTACTGCTGCCCCACTGCCCGGCTCTGCTGAGTGTTCTATTGCTGCAGAGTAATTCACTCCCCAACCTTAGCGACTTAAAGTAGCAACTCACGGGACGAACAATGGCAGAGAGGTTACGTCACTGGACTCCCACGTCATTGACCGCGGTTCGAGTCCAGACCCAGAGGCTTAAAACTCATGCCAGGAGCGTGTGTGTGTATGCTCAAGATCTCGAGAGGAGAATGGAGGAGAAGGGATCGCGGTATGGCCGTCCCCCTGGGGCGGGGGGGACGGGTCCAGGCCATCTCTGCAGAACTCGGAGCTGACGGCTTTCCCCCGGGTGTCTGCACACCCTTAGTTTAGCAGAATGTTCATGGCGGTGCTCTGAGCTGTCCTGCCCAGAAGGGGGAAGGACTGTCCTTACAGCACTTCGCCCTGGGACGGCGCTCGGGGCTCCTTGGTGCCCACCTTGCCAGCAGCTCAGGGGCATGCGAGCAGGGAGGCCCAGCACCGGAGAGCCTCCGACGGAGAGCCGCTACCCTTCTGCAGTTTGGGGTCTGAGGTCTCCGGTGTTCTCACCTGTCATTTGATGCACCCGAAGGTCTACTGGTCCCTGGGCAGCAGGAAACAGCTGGAAGGGGAAGGTATCTGGGCGGTGGGTGTCCAGGCCTGGTGTCCAGGCCTGCCAAGGTCCGGAGCTGGCTCTCCACCACTGGTTCCCTGCCCTGGGCAAGCCACTGTACCTGCAGGCTGAGTTTTCTCACCTCAGAGCAGGAATCTTGTGATAATGGGCCCCTGGGGGGTTGTGAGGACTAAATGAGGGGGTGCAGCTCAGAGTGCCCAGCCAGGCCTGGCACAGCAGGGTCCTATGAGCACGGTCTCTCCACACCAGGTTCCCCGGCAACCTGCCGGCCATCAGCAGTCAGCCAGCCCTGCTGCCCGGAGATCGGAGCAGTCCTTCTGTTTATGCTGCCCAGCTCCTGGGGACCGGAGATAGGCGGGTCTTCAAAAAGTTCACGGAGAGTGTGTGTTACAAACAAACCGTGCATGGATTTCAACACTTTTACACCAAAATAGAATCGTATTTTCATTTCATTTTTCTTTGAACTTTAAAACAAAGCTTATTAATTATTTTTCCATCAGAGAGAGGAAGAAAGGGCGAGCGAGGCTAATTATTTTTCCATCAGAGAGAGGAAGAAAGAGTGAGAGAGGGAGGGCTCTCCCACAGTGTCTTCTTGATCGACGGCCAGTCTCAGCCGGTCCGCAGACATGTTTGTGGACCTGGAATACTCAGGGAGGTCCCCGGACACAAGCCAGGGCCTTTCCCAGGGGTCCAGCTGCGTTACTGCACCGCCTGGCCCGCTGGGAAGCCGTGGGAGCCCCCGTGTAATTACAGATGGACACGCGCTGTGTTAGGCAAAGTGCCAGTCGGAGACCAGCAGGTGATTGAATTTCGAATTTTATGAAGAGCCATCACGTGTGGCTGAAGTTTGGGGACGTCAAGGCAACCAAGGATTCTGCTAACATTGCTCAAGAGGGCTATGGACCCAGATATGAGGCAATGGGACTTAGAGAAAGGCAGGTCAGAGGCTTAAACGTCCAATAGAGGGATGCTAAAAGGGGAGTCGGCGGAGGATGAAGAGTCTTGCGTGCTAACATTGGAATGAAAGAATATAGAAACAGAAGTCAGCAGGGGCGTGGTGGTTAGGGTGCTGGACTCCCACGTGGCTGACTGCAGTTCGAGTTCCACATGGTGGTTTGCTTTCTCTCTTTCTCTCTCTCTCTTTCTCTCTGTCTCTCTCTGGTGAGCACACATGCCCTGTAACAGTTTTTTTTTTAAATAATAATAATAAATGCAATTAAATTAATAATTATTTTTTCTTTAAGAAAGAAAGAAATAGGGGAAAAAAAGAATAGGCAGAAACAGAAAACAGAGGGGCGAGGCCAGGAGGAAATACATGTTTTCCTAGGTAGCACAGAGTTGAGGGACACGAGTTCCTGAAAGAAAGGGGGAGGAGACAGATCACGCCGCTGGTAGGTAATGTCTTTATGCTGTGTTTTCTTTTCGATGTAGGCTATTTAGCTAAACTTTCTGAAGACAGCAACCCATCTTGGCTGCATAGCTTAATTCAAGAAACATTTCTCGAGGTTTGCTCGGCTCCCATTTTTTTTCTTTTTGAGAGGTTTTTGCTATAGGGCGCGTGCGCTCACCAGAAAGACAGAGACAGAGAGACAGAAAGCGAGAAATCACCCCCCAGAGGGGATGGCCATGCTGCGACCCCTTCTCCTTCATTCTCTTGTCGGGATCTTGGGTACGCACGCACACGCGCCCGGTGTGAGTTTAAGCCAGCGGGTCTGGGACTTAAACCACGGTTGACTACATGGGAGTCCAGCGACATAGCCTTTAATGCTAACTGCTGGTCCCTCGGCTCCCATCTTCAAGGACCTGGTGATGCGGAAACCAGACTCTGCATGCCACGGCATGTGCGGGGCCTAGGAAGTGCTCAGTGTTGCTCAAGATGGTGAGTGGGCGGAAACGTCAGGACACGTGGCCGGAGAGGAAAGTAGAAGCAGAAGCCGTGGAGAGCCAGCACCGGTCCATCGGAAGCCAGTGGCGGGTTCTAAACAGAGGGCACAAGCCCACATCTTTAGTACAAGAATATCTTCTTTTAATAGCCACATATTATTCAACATAAGTAATGTGTTAGAGTGTGTTAAAGTTTATTTTTCCATTCTCCTCTTAATAAATATTTAGATTATTTCTAACTTTTTGATATTGCAAATGTTTCTCTTTTTCTTTCTTTTTTTTTTAAAAAATATATTTTCTAGAGGTTGTGTACACTTTCCAGAGAGAAAGGAGGATAGAGGGAAAACAAGAAAGCACCCTCCCATGGGGCATGGTCGTGCTGCAATCCCTTCTTCTCCTTTTGGGATTTTGCCAGTTCAGATGGGCCAGCCTTTTCACTTAGTGGTTACAAAACTGGACCCCGCACGATCCACCAGGGTTCGAGTCTCTGGCCCCGACGTGTGTGTGTGGACATGAAGGAAGAATGGAGGAGAAAGGATTGCAGCACGGCTGTGCCCCATTGCGGGGTGCGCTTGCTGTCTTGCTGCCTGGTGAGCACACAGGCCCTTAGAAAAAGATGGAAGCTGACGGTAAGGATCCAGGAGGGAGTGCTCTGGGAGCGGGAAGCAGGCCTGCGTTCAGGGAGCCCATAGAGGTGCAATGGACGGGACCAGTTATGGGTTCTCACAAGAGGGTGCGAGGGACAGGGAGCAGCCAAGGGGGCCAGTCTCATGAGACAGGGGCAGGAACGGGCAGGCCAGGAACGGAGTGGATTTGGTTCTGGGTGTGCTGGGTATGAGAGGCCCACAGGACAGCCCAATGGAGGGTCACCGGGCATCTGGGCTCCGCAGAGGGTTCTGGGAAAACACTTAGCCGAGCACCTGGAGATGGTGGTTAAAGCCCAGAGGAGGGAGTGAGGCGTGGGGCAAGTGGGCAGAGCGGGAGGGCAGAAAAGAGGGGCTTTGTTTAAGGGGGAGGCAGAAGGGGACCCTCCCTCTCTGCTCAGAGATCAGCGCCCCAGACCAGGAGAGGTGAGTGAGGAGGGAGGGAGGAGAGTGAGGAGGGAGGGCAGGGGAAGGCTGAACCGATTGCCGAGGTCAAGAGGTGAGGGCGGCGGTGTGCGTTGGGTTGAGGACTGAATGAGAGGTGACCAGGTGAAGGAGAGCAGGAAGGCCTTGTCTCCAGGGTGTACGTGAGGAGAGCGGGTGGAGGGAAGGCCACTCTCTCCAGGATCAGCGCCAGACAGAGGAGGGCAGGCAGAGGAGGGCAGGCAGAGCTGGCAGCAGCCCGGCGGCAGGCGGGGCTGGGACGGGGCTGGGCTGTGCCCACCGCAGGGAGGCGTGAAAGGGCCGTTGTTGGGTGGGATGCCCTGGTTTCCACTTGTCCTTTTTAGAAGTAAAACTTTCCTTTTAGACCTCACTGACGTCAGGAGTAGGATAAGGAGCGGTGCTAGCCGGCTGCCGTGACCGCTGGGCCGACCTCTTGTTCAGAGAGTAAACTGAGGCCCAGGACGGGGAGGGGGCCTGCTGGAGCTCGCCGGCAGCAGAAGGCTCTAGGCAGGGCTCTAACAGCTGCTCCTCATTCTCCTCGCTGACCTCACTTCCCTATCAGGAGCTCACCCCCCTGCCCCTGCTGGCGGGCCCCTGCTCCTCACCGGTTAGTTCCAGGAGGGCCCAGGGGGCTCAGGACCGAGCTGTGCACGGCGCGCCCAGCGCTCTCCTCCAGGGGGCGCCACTGACGCTGTGGGCGCGCGGCTCCCTGCAGCTGTGCAGGGTGCGGCCCGAACCTGGCCTGATGGAATTTCTCAGCATACCCAGTAAGGAAGGCCCCGGACGACTGCGCCAGGACACATTTTTCAGCTTGGCGGAGTCCTTCTGCCCACTGGAACCTGAGTAGGAAAGCCCAGGGCGCAGGAGCAGGGAGCCTCAGTCCTGCGGCCTGGGGAGGCGGGGCAGGGGCAAGGAAACAGTACCGTAACCCCAGCAGGGGCAACCTGATGGCCTGGACGTTTCTCTCTTTTTCTCTCCTAGAGGAGTTTTCTTAGACACCATCCTCCCGCGGCGAGACGACAATGGCGTCAGGCCACCCATCGGCCAGCGCGTGCGGCTCAGTCAGGGAGACATAGCTCAAGCCAGGAAGCTGTACAAGTGTCCAGGTAACCGCGGCCGGGCGCCCGGCACCTCCCCGCCAGCCCCAGGGCACAGCTCAGCTGCGGTTTGCGCAGCCCCCCCCCCTTTGTGCTGGGAAAACAGCTTGCTGGCCGTGGCCACCGCGATTTCCCACGTCCTGGTGGGCGTGCCAGCGGTGTAGGAGCAGAAAGGGTGCAACGCTGGCAGGTAGTGGAGCGGATCGTGGGCCTTGGAGCCCAGAGCTGAACTTGTGGGAGGCTTTGGTCTTCCTGGGAGTGCCCCACTATAAGAGGAGAAGAAAGTGGGGTGAGGACAAACAGGGTCCAACGCAGGTGCCCCCACAACAGTAAGAACTCCCGCCCTTTCTTGGGCACTCGGTGATATGGGTTTAGCAAAACAGGGCCAAGGGAGGCTCTGCAGGAAGACTGGGGATGAGGGAGCAGGTTTGGGGAGGGCAGGAGCCTGTTTCTGGAACAGATAGGGCAGAGGCGGCCTCCGCTACAGCTGAGGTCTCGGGCTGTCTTAGCCACCACAGCGGTGACCAGTGGCCGGCAGCCTCCCGCTGAAGACTGGACAGTGCATTGAGGTTGGAGCAAGCGTCTGTTCCTCTGCCAGTTCGGAAGTGCCCTCCCTCTTTGCCTTCCACCTCCTCAGCCCGCACAGACGCTCTGCCGTCCTGGGGAGTGCTCCCGGGGCCCCTTTAAGCCGCTGGACTCCCACCCACAGCACTGGTCACGGCCCGAGACTACCACTGACTTCAGTGATTGGGGAGGACAGAAGGAAGTTCCCTTCCCAATAGGACCAGCGGCCCTTTCCAAACCCCAGGCAGACAGAGTTCCATCATGGGGCGGAATATGTGAACGGGGCCACCCTGAAAAATCTCTGCGGTCACCAGCCCTTCTAGGCAGGACCATCGGGCTTGCGGAGGGCGGCGTGGGGCTCGCTCCTGCCTGAACTCTCGGAGCTGTGCCCACCCGGCCCTTAGCCATCTGGGGGCACGTCAGGGCTGGAATCCAGGACACACATATCGTATGACCTCGCTGGATTTAAAGGGAAACCTTATAGCAGTCCCGGGAGAAATGCCGTGGAGTTGATTTAGTTATAATGTATCTGCCGCTTACTTGCCAGGAGGATTCGTGGCAGCTGGTAAATACCAGGGAGCCACACAGTCACGGGTCTGTTCTCAGAGTGCTAATAATGATTCTGAACTAATTTCTGCGGAACCTCGGGGGCGCTGCCTGCCCGACCTAATCCTCGTGATGCCTGGCAGTTGTTCGGTAACGTGATAGCGAAGGCCCGATACCCAGGATTTCCTGAGGCTGCTGATGGGCGCTTCCACATACCCCTTCCTGCAGCTCCAGAAAAGGACTTCCGAGTGGGTTCCAGTAGTACTGAGAGCCAGGGCAGTTGCCAGGCAGGGGTTGGCTGCTCGTAGGAAAAGCCGCGCAAACCTAACACACACGCACACACATGCACACGCACACGGAAAAGATGCTAAGGATGCTTTGTTCCCCGTACTTCAGGGATGGCCCCCCAAGTCAGCGGGGGAGCGGTGTTTAGCAGTCCTGTGTTTTCATCCTTGGGGCCTGAATCCCTGGGGTCAGGGAGGTACAAACCCTGAAGTTTGCCAGTATTCAGACAGGTGCCTTCTGTTCGGAGGACGAACCAGGGGACATGGTTTTCACGTACAGAAAGATTGCTCTCCACTCCTACCCAGGCCACCCTCACACATCCTGGGGTAGAGTAATTCCTCTCGCCTCGTTCAGCTCCCTGGGCCTCTGCATTTCTGTGGTGGTTCTCTGGTCGATTTGGTAGTTCTTCCAGAGGTGGGGAGCAGAGAAAAGAGGCAAGATCCAAACCAACAGCCTAGGAAGTTCCAGAGCGTGTCTGTTCTCTCTCTGACGCGCACGTTCCGAACGCTTGGACACAGGTCCCCTTAGCAAGTATAATGGGTGCTGCAGACGGAGCACTCGCCGCGTGCCAGCGCTGAGCCGATGCGTTCCACCTAACACGGATGATTTCCTGAGCCCTCTGAGGCGGGCCTGCCCCTTTACAGATCGGAGAACTTGGGCTCAGCAGTGCTGAGGGACGCCCCCATGGCCACACAGCCTGAGCCAGAGAGCTGAAATGCAAACCAGCTCGAGGCCACGCTCAGGCCAGAAGCAGAAGAACCCCTGGGGTGCTCCTTCGGGGGCCCAGACCCTGCTTGTGCTTCTGTTAGCTGGGAAAACGCCCGTCTGCCTGGCACGCCTCCCGCCAGTGTGTGCCGAGAGCGCGGGCTGGTGAAGGGTGCGTTTGGTCTGCGGGCCCACGAGGGAGCGGGCGGCTCAGCCGGGAGCGGGCGGCTCGGCCAGCACCACGCACCACGGCTATCGTGTTTGTGCAGCGTGCGGAGAGACCCTGCAGGACACCACAGGAAACTTCTCTGCACCCGGCTTCCCCAACGGCTACCCTTCCTACTCCCACTGCGTCTGGAGGATCTCCGTCACTCCAGGGGAGAAGGTAGGTGGGGCCCCTGGGAGTGGCTCAGCCCTGGAGGTGGGTGAGGTGGGAGGATGCTCCTTGGAATTGTGGGGCCGCCCGCTGTTTGTTCCCGGGTGGGGTGGGTGGGGCCGCCTATGCGCCAGGCTCCTTGCTGTTTGCTTTCCATTCGTTGTCTCTGGGCTTCTCGATCAGCCTCATCCCTGCAGACGGAGGCCCGGCACGCCGTCAGTGTCCCGGGCTGTTCCAGTCAGGCTGGCGGTCTGTGAGCAGGAGGAGGTGCTGTCCTCTGTCTTGATGACTACACCGTGTCACTGCTGTGGGGGCAGGGATCCTATTTAGAACTGCCTTTCATCTTTAGTGCCACTCTGGAAGGCGGCAACCCCTGGGAGAGGTGGCCCCAACCCATGGCCAGCCTCTCTTCCCCAGCCCCCCTCTTACCTCCCAGGGCCTCAGGAGCGTCCACGTTGACACCCCAGCCTATGTACTCTGGAGTGTCTCCCCTCCTGCCTTGCGAACGGGTGCTCCTCGGCTGCCCCCGGGGTGCACACTGGCCAGGTCCACCCTCAGGGAATGGATCCAGGGGAGAAGCCCTTCCACGCCCTGGAAGTGGGTTCAGGTCTCTCTGCTGTTGTTCGGACGGGAATTCTGGGGTCCCGTGTCCCTGGAGTGTGGTCTGGGGCTGAGCGAGCCCTGGGTGGACACGCTCCCCTGGCCCTGGATACCCTATGGCCCTCTGGAGCTGAGCCTAGGCCTAGCGCGCCTCTTACCCTGGTCTGAACCCGGCAGGAGCATACTTTTATACCCATCATGTGGTCACGGAATTGGAGCTCAGACATTACAGAATTTACCCAAGTTCAAAGCAAGATGTAGGATTAGGAACCAGGGCCCTCGTGTCAAAACTGACCTTTCTGCCTCACGTCTCTCTGCACGTGTCCGTCGGGCTCCCCCAGACCGGATGCCGCTGTCTTGGAGCAGCGCTCTCCCGCCCCTGGGTCTGGGCCACCGACGCCACCTGTGTTCCCGGAGCTGCCCGTCATCACGCCGCTGCTCTGGCTTCCCAGTGTTGTGGCGGCTGGTTTATCCATTCCTTTCCCACACGCGAAGCTCACTGAGACCAGAGGCTCTTCAGGCCAGCACCCTGCACCCCCGTGGCCACGGCAGAGTGTCGCACGACACGGACCTGCCGAATGGAGGCGTGGAGGGCTGCGAGGCTGGGTGAAACACAGGCAGCTGGCGGTGGCCGTGGGGTGTGCTGGAAAACCTCAGGTTGCTTGTAGCTAACCTTTAGGTAGTTCTCATTCATAACCCCTAAGAACTCTCTCTCTAAATGTCAAGATAAGCTTCTTGTGATAACTGGAGCGAAGTGGCCAGGAGCCACTGTGAGTTTCTCGGGCTGGGTGCTGTGCTCAGCCCATTATGTGAATCGTCCCATGTAACCCTCACATCAGCTTCCTGCGGTAGGAAGTGGACTTCCCAAAGGCTACGTCTGTCCCCAAGTTGGAATTTAAACCTAGGTTCTGGACTCTGAGGGCCTGGATGCCTGGCCGTCATCTTGGCATCTTCATTTATTTTTGAGAGGTTTTTGCTATAGGGTGTGTGCCCTCGCCAGAGAGACAGAGAGACAGAAAGCAAGAAATCACCCGAGGTGGGATGGCCATGCTGCAATCCCTTCTCCTCCATCTCCTCTTAACATTTTGGACATGCACGCACATGCACCCAGTGTGAGTTTTAGCCCACCAGGTCCAGGACTCGAACTGCTGTCGACTACATGAGAGTCCAGCAACGTAACCATTACTCCATCTGCTGGGCCCCATCATCTTATATTATTGCCCCAAAGGGACAGGCTAGTAGATAAGCATTTGAGCACGCATTTACACACTTACACGTGTGCACACAAGTGTGTGTATACACACACACAGCTTTGGTCTAAGCTTTCAGACACTGCCATTGTCATCTTGCATCTGCCTTAGATGGAGGTGATGTCCCTGAGCCTGCTAGAAGCACTGACAGGAGGAAGGCAGGAGTGAGGAGGGAGAGGAGGGGCCTGGTGGTCCCCAGATTGCGGCGCCGCCGGGATTGTCGGTGCTAACAGGGGCAGGGAGGACATCGCCCCGAAACTCCTCGCACCAATTATCTCCACTTCTGCTTCAGCCAGCACTCCCCAGAGACGCCAGGACTCAGCAAACTGGATCGATTCTAGTGTCGCCTCGTGATCGTCACCTCTTCCCCTATGGCCTTGAGGTCACTAGCGTGCTTAAAATCCTTAGCCTGGATAATTCCCCGATTCCCCGAACGTGTGACCCAGGAAGTTGTACTAACATTTCCTTCCGATCATTTAAGAAAGCAGAGGCTGAGAATTCTTATGGAAGCAGCTCACAGGTGTCGCCGAGCTCTGTCATCTGGTGCAAGCCCGTGGGGCTAGGGCGGGGAGTAAAATGCATCCCTGTTTAAGAGACTTCAAGTTTAGTTTGGGTAACCCCCCCTTACTCCCAGGGAGCCTGAGTTACTGTAAGGGGCGTTTGCTTGGTAAGAGTTTCTTTTTCTTTTCGTTTTTAAGCTTCCAAGGTGATTGTTTTAAATGTTTTTGTCCTAGGACACTTGCCCTCACCAGAAAGAGAGAGACAATGAGAAGGAAAGTGAGAAATCGCCTCCCGGGAGTGGGGGGATGGCCATACTACAACCCCTTCTCCTGCGATTTTGGGCATACACACATATGTGCCCAGCGTGCGTTTCAAAGTGCCGGATCTGGGTCTTGAATCACAAGTGACCATGTGGAATCCAGTGCCGTAACCACTACGCCACCTGCCGGCCCCATCCAGTGTGATTCTAGTGTGAAGTAGACTTGAAAGCCATGAGTCTAATTAGGAAGAAGAGTGACATCTCTCTCTCACTCAGACACACTCACCCTCCACCGTGGGAGGTGAGCTGGCCTGTCATTTCCTGGTTCTGACCCTTCCTCTCCTAACCACAAGGCTTTGTAGAAGACGCCGCTTATCCTGAGATACTAAGTGGACACAGGGTGGGATCGGTCCACAGAACGGTGGGCTTTCTCGGCGCCGGCCACGTAGGCGAACTGGGAAGAGCCGTCAGTGTGGGGCGCTGAGCACAAGCCGGTGTGGCGTGTTGCCTGATGCCCCCGTTTCTGGAGTCCTCTTTATGTGTCAGGCCTAAGGCTGCACACGCCACAGCAGTCTCTCTCAGTCGGCCGCCGGCCCGAATGGCGTGCAGACCGTGTACAGATGAGGAAGCTGCAGGTCCTGGAGGCCCACGTTTCCCCCAGCTCCACTGCTGGGGAGGGCGGGCTGCGAGGCAGACCCAGATCTGCCAGGCTCTAATGGTCGTGTGAGAGAGCAGGGGTGTCAAAGACGCAAAGACGGCGTCCACCTGGGCAGGACCTGGGGCGGTGAGTGGGCCCTCGAGCTGGCCAGGGAGGGCTCCTTAACACAGGCCATCCCGCAGTCGAGGAGACAGGGAACACAGGGTGGAGGGCTAGCAGGGAGCTGAATGTCGGGAGCAGGCACAGGGCGCCACGGGAGTCCTCGGCACGGGAGGGACCGGTGACCCCGAGACGTAGTGGGAGGCTGACCTAGAGGCCTCGTGTGCAGAGTGGACAGGGCACAGCAGGGAGGGTCCACGTCATTCTGCAGAGGGCACCAGGACGGGCTGAGGGCTGGGAGCACAGGCAGGAAGGGGCACAGGTGTCGGGTGAGAAGAACCACCCCGTGGGTGCTGAAAAGGTGGGTCTGGCCTGGGGACCGGGGCGTTGGCGTCTCCCCAGCCAGAGAAGCCAGGAGGGAAAGGTTTTGTCTGGAGGTGCCCTTAGTGGGGTCGGGGGAGGCAGCCAGGAGCGAGGGCAGTGCTGAGGACGGGCCAGGGTGGTGGAAACCTAAGGACCGGCTGGGGGGAGGCCGGGAACAAGGACAGGTGACAGGGCTGGGACGGCCCTGCCACTGATGTCCTGCACCCTGCAGCCTGAGGTTTGCTGAGCTATTGAGTGTCTTGCCAGTGGTGTATGGTGAAGGCAATGGCTCCCACATGGTCCACTGCACTGTTCAAGGCCTGGACCTGGTGGCTTGAAAATCACACTGGGCACATGTGGGTGTGTGCCCAAAATCCCGAAGGAAGGATAGAGCTGGCGGGATTGCCGTGTGGCCGGCCAGCCCCCTTCCCAAATCTCTCTGTCAAGAGAGACAAGTGTTCCTGCCCTGTAGCAGCAATTTGAAAAGAAGGAAGGAAGGAAGGAAGGAAGGAAGGAAGCTATGAGAGCCCCTGGGGCTGTTTGAATATAAAAGAAATGGAGAGAGAGAGAGCTGGTGAGAGCGAGGTCCTGGAGGGGGGAGAGGAATAGGGGAGGTGCAGGGGCTGGGCAGGGGTGGGGGCAGGGGCAGGGCTGCAGAGCAGGAAGAGCTGGGAAGGGAGGGGGCAGGGCATGCTGAGCGAGGCTTGCTTCTCAGTGTAGCCCACACATGCATCATAGGTGCATACACACACACGTGTGCACACACATGGAGAGGTCAGGACCAAGGGGACACATGAACTCTGCTCTGGGCCAGCTGCCAGGGCGCCCGAACTGGAGGGCTGCTCGGGGACCAGGCAGTTGATGGTGCAGCTCCCTGGGCGAGGCCCAGGCCCTCCAGCAAGTGCTAACCAGCTTGGGCAGAGATGCAACTGCCGACACGCCTCAGCGTCCAGAAGAGAGGCCTTCATTCCCAGCCCCCTCCGCACCACCCAGCTCCCCAGCCTGGCTCCATCTCTGCCTCTCCCACCTGCTCATTGCAGGCACGCGCGACCACGCTGGGCTCCGGCACAGGTCCCCAAACAGCGCTTGCTCCTCAGCCCCCAGCCCGACCTCTCTGCCCACTCGGCACCTCGTCCCTGGAGGTACACGCCACCTCAGACACCTCTCCAGTATCAGCAGGCAGAACCTCCTCCTCCCTTCTTGGGAGTTCCAAAATGCTCTTTTTTTTTTTGGAGAGGTTTTTACTATAGGGCACATGCACTCGCCAGACAGAGAGAGACAGAGAGATAGAAAGCAAGAAATCACGCCCCAGGGGGGATGACCATGCTGCATTCCCTTCTCCTTCATTCTCCTCTTGGGATCTTGGGCACGCACGCACACGCGCCTGGTGTGAGTTTTAAGCCACCGGGTCCGGGACGTGAACTGCGGTCGACTACATGGGAGTCCAGCAACATAACCATTACGCTAACTGCTGGTCCCCCAAAATGCTCTTTCTGACTGTTCCACTCTTTTTATTTTAATGCAACTATTTATGTTTTAAAATTCCATTTTATTATTTGTTTTTGGAAAGGTTTTTGTTATAGGGCATGTGCGCTTGCCAGAAACAAGGAAGTAGACAGAGAGACAGAAAGCGAGAAATCACCCCCCGAGGGGGGATGGCCACACCACAATCCCTTCTCCATTGTCCTCTCGGGATCTTGGACACGCACGCACATGCGCCCCGTGTGAGTTTAAGCCACCAGGTTGGGACTCGAACCGCGGTCGACTACATGGGAGTTCAGCGACATAGCCATTACGCCATCTGCCAGTCCCAGGAATTATCATTTTAAACATTTGATCGCTATACATCATTTGGCTTGTAAAGAAGACAGTTCCATTCTTAACGTTTACCCCCGTCATAGTCTCATTGTCTTGACACACCCTATTCCCTGAGCTCCCTAAAAGGAAGAAGCACCCTGTCTTCCCGACTTTTTCATCTCCGTTGGCCCACAGACTGGCACAGCAGCTGGTCAGAAGCGACGGTGGGATGAGTGGAGGGTGCGTGCACGGTGTGGTGGCTGTCAGACACACTGCACCTCAGAAGAGCGAGGCCACAGCAGGTGGACATCGGGCAGGGAGCGCGCAGATGCACGCAGGCTAACCCCGGCCCTTCGGCGTGATTGAAAATGTCATAAGATCTTTTCGTATCTCTGAGCTTCCTTGACCCCTCGCCGCCTTCCGGACCCCGTCTCAGCGCGCCCTGGGCCGTCTTTCTAACGCACCTTGCTTTCTATAAACCAACTGGTGACTTCAAAGGCGCACGTGATCCCCAGACAGAGTCAAAGGACCCGTGTCCTTCTGGTGACTCCCCATCCTGCTTACGGTTGATTATGGACCGTCCCGAGGTTTGCTGTGTGTTTTGAGGAGACTTGCCTGCTGGGGTCCGAAAGCTGTGGACGAGACCGTACGTGAGAATGGTGTGACGCAGATGCACCTTTCACAGCTCCTCAGGCCTCGCTGCCCACACGCTCTTTCTGGTCCCTCTTACAGATAGTCCTGAACTTCACATCCATGGACCTGTTCAAAAGCCGCCTGTGTTGGTACGACTACGTGGAGGTCCGGGACGGCTACTGGAGGAAAGCCCCCCTGCTGGGTGAGTCCACTGCAGACAGCCTGGGCTGCCGCTGGCAAGGGTCTGTCCCCACGCTCACAGGAAGCTCTCCAGGGCCTGTGTCATTGTAAAAGTCTGGGCACTCCATTTGGCTACACATGTTCAAAGCTTTTAGAACTGGGAACGCCCTTTGACCCAGCAATTCCACGTCTTGGAATTGATCCTAGGGAACTAATTAAGGAAGTGTGCAAAGCCCTAGCTACAGGGAGGAGCAGTGAAGCGGGGAAAATTGAAAGCAGTTTAAATGCTGGACAGTAGGGGTGAGCTGAATAAATTATGATCCATCTTTTCAGTGGAAAACTTTCAAGCCTTTAATAATCAAGGTAGAGGTGGCTACTTACTGCTACAGAAAGAGCAGACTGTTGCATAGAAAAGAGTATGTCACAAAACAGAATGCGCAGCAGGGTTCTGCTCCGACTTAAAAATACATTTAATACGAGCAGCCGTTCATTCTGGACAAACATGACCTGATAGTCTATGTGGGGGAGGTATCTTTAAAAAGTTCATGGAAAATAAATATTATGAGAAAGCTGTATGGAGTTCAAAACACTTTTGCATCAAAATTAGCACCTATTTTAATTTCGTTTTTACCTAGACCTTTCGAAGCCCCCTCACACTATGCAGGTAGTCCAAACTCAGATGCCTTCGAGGATAAGCCATGCAGAGATGAGAGTAACAGCGTAATGCAGGCAGGTAGGGAGTGTAGGGATGGAACACCGAGGATCCTGCCCAGCATGCTTCCAAATAAAATTTCTTAAAATAAGGTGCACCGTGAATTCAACCACAAGAAAGCAGTTTGTGATCTACAATGTAAATACCGAGTAAACTTACAAATCACACACTGTTTGTCAGGATGCTGGACTAGCTTTTACACGTTTGTGCCGTTGTCCCCGGCTGGGCTGTGTGGTCTAGTTGTTCGGAGATGATGGCCGCTGTTTTTGTGACGTGGACGGGGCATGAACTCATTTGTGAAACGGTAGCTTGGCCCTTTGAGTGATGGGCGGTGGGCAGCGCTGTAAGGGAGAGGCTGGGTCACGAGCAGTGGCCGGAAGGGACCTCTCCGTGGACGACCAGGGGAGACAAACCTTGCATATAGACGCTGGCTTCGTGTCCTGCGAGCTGACTGTGGGACTCACTGGCCTGGGCAGGGTGCCATGGTGGAGCTGGCGAGAGAAGCAGATTGACAGGAAGCCGGGTGGAGGGGTCTCAGCTGAGAGCCACTGCCCTTGTTCTTAGCCTGGTCCACAGGTGGGCTCCTGTCAGTTCTCGGTGACAGCCTTGTCCCTGGCATATCTTCACATAGATGGGACAGTCCTGATGAGGCTGCAGATGACAATGAGCTGCCACTGGGGCAGTGACTGAGATGGTGACAGCAAAGAAGAGGGCTGAGCTGGGAGCTTCACTCCCAGACCGAGTCCTGGCTCGACTCAAGGGCCTGGTGGGTATGAAGTGTCCCTGTGAGTAGCGGTCCCAGTGGTTAGCCGCCACAGAGGTGGTTCAGAGGGCCCTGAGTCTCCATTCCTGGAGGTCCAAACAGGTAGGAAGTTGTGTCCCCTGGTGATCCAGGGTGGGGGAGCAGCCAGGGCAGACTCTGAATGGGAACACCAGGCCCCATTGGGAGGAATCAGCCACTGGTCAGCAGTCTGGTTAGGTGAGTCAGAAAATGGCTCCAGGCTAAGCACAGGCCAGAGAGTGCGCACTGCAGGGCAGTGGGTCATGCCACCAGGGCAGGGCAGGGCTACCTGCCCTGGGCCAGCCTCTGCCTGATCGGAGCAGGCATGGCATGTGCCCACAGCCAGAGGGAGGCATGGCTCCATGGGCAGCACTGCGTGTGTGGCAAAAAGACCTGAGTTCCTGGTGCCACAGGGTCCCAAGCTGGGCACCAGCATCACCTGGGAGATTTCTGAGTACAAATTCCCGGGAGACCAGACAGGTGGATCCTGGTGCTGTGGTCAGGGCTGAGCCCACCACCTGCAAATGCTCCTGTGAGTGCTCACGCCCCTGTCTAACATCAGACACGCCGAGGGCACTGCAAGGGTGCCGTCCCGCTGTCGAGGGCTAACCTCCGAGACAGGCAGTGTGGTCGTGTGGGCAGCCTCGCTTCAAATACTTCTTGATGGTTCGAATCTTTTCTAAGAATGCACCTGGGTATTATTTCGTGATTGAAATGGTAAAAGGAGCTACATGAGATGCTTTTTATGAGAACATGGAACCATAGACCCCTCGACCTGACAGGACCTTAGAGTCATCCCACACCTCACGACAAAGCCAAGCTCCTCCGTGTGGGCTCACCTTCCAAGGCCACACAGCCAGCTCAAGGCTGAGGTCAGACAGAATTCAGATGTCCTGGTGACGGGCAGAGGTGTCTGCCAGGTCTCTGCACCCTCAGGGTGGCCAGACAAAATACATTATTCGTTGTTTATCTGAAATTCAAGTGTACTAAACCTGGCAGCCCTGCCCCTTCCCGGGAGTGGGTAGATTTAAAGGCTCTGGAGGAGGAAGCTCTCTGTTACTGAAGTCTCCCAGAGAGGGCCGAGCACGTCCCTGAGAGCAGGCCCCGGCAGAGAGTTCCAGCAGCTCCTTTTCTTGGACTTGAAACAAGAATTTTCTCACCACAGAGCCTGGCATCTCTGGCGACACTTTCCTGAATGAGATGGGACTTTGGTCATTTGTTGTTGGAGGGGATGGTGCATGTGTGTGTGTGTGTGTGTTCTGTTCTGTTTGGAGTTTGAGGGAGGTCATACTTTGCAGCATATGCATGTGTGCACACATCTGTGTCTGTGTGCCTGTGTCTGTGTGTATGTGCATGTCCGTGTGCACATGGCTATGTGTCTCTGTGTGTGCATGTGTGTGTCTGTGTGTCCGTGTACGTGTGCATATGCATGTGTGTATCTCTGTGTGTGCATGTCTCTCTGTGTGTCTGTGTTTGCGTGTGTCTGTGTGCATGTGTGTGTCTGTGTGTGTGTCTGTGTACATGTTTCTGTGCATATGCACGTGCGTGTCTGTGTGCGTGTGTGCATAACTGTGTACGTGTCTGTGTGTGTGTCTGTGTGCATGTGCGTGCCTGTGTGTGCATGTGTCTCTGTGTGTGCATGTGCATGTCTGTGTGTGTGTGTCTGTGTGTGTCTGTGTATGTGTCTGTGTGTGCATGTGTGTGTCTGTGTGTATGTACATGTCTCTGTGTGTGTGCATGTCTGTGTGTCTGTATGTGCCTGTGTGCATGTGCATGTGTGTGTCTGTCTGTGTGCATGTGCGTGCCTGTGTGTGTATGTGTCTCTGTGTGTGCATGTGCATGTCTGTGTGTGTGTCTGTGTGTGTCTGTGTGTGCATGTGTGTGTCTGCATGTGTACATGTCTGTGTGTCTGTGTATGTGCCTTGTGATGTGCATGTGTGTGTCTGTGTGTGTACGTGCCTGTGTGTGTGTCTGTGTACGTGTCTGTGTGCATATGCATGTGCATATCTGTGTTTGTGCATATCTGTATGTGTCTCTGTGTGCATGTGTGTCTGTGTGTATGTGCATGTCTGTGTGTGCATGTGTGTGTCTGTGTGCATGTGTGTGTCTCTGTGTGCACATGTGCACATCTGTGTGCATGTGTGTGCGTGTGCATGTGTGTCTCTGTGTGTGCATGTCTGTGTGTCTGTGTGTGTGTCTATATGTGTCTCTTTGTGTGTACATGTGTGTGTCTCTGTGTGTGCATGTCTGTGTATGTGTCTGTGTGCATGTGTCTGTGTGCATGTACATGTCTCTGTGTGTGCGTGTACGTGTCTGTGTGTGTCTGTGTATGTATCTGTGTGCGTGTGTCTTTGTGTGTGCACGTGTGTGTGTGTATGTGTGTGTGTACTGCAGCTCAGGCATGGCTGAGTGCCGGCAGCCGGCATTCTTCCTCTGCAGAAGCTCTCCTTTGCCAACTATCTGGCCCGCTCTGATGTGCCCAAACGCAGTTGTTAGTGAACTTTTGTGTTTGGAACGAGTGCATTGTGTCAGCCAAGCTGGTCCCCGGGAGGGGTCAGTGCCGTGAAATCTGCCGGGAGGAGGCAGGTCAATGCCCCTTTGGCAGGGGGGAGAGCGGATTAGGGCGGATTGTGAAAGTATGCATCTCACTCTGAAAAACTGTGCGTCGCGTTTTTTTCCCAGGGCAGTGTGTGAAAATCCGGGCATAATGGACACATAACTTTTTATGAATGAACCCTTTATGGCTCCCTGCGGAGCCCACTTGTCGTATCCTCATCTGCATTTCCTCTTCCTGATATCCTCATTAAACGCCTCTGAATCCGGGACCCAGGTTTCAGTCCAGAACGTCGTACCTTTGCCCGCGTCTGCTTCCCCTCCAGCCTGCGTGGTCTTGGACGGGGGCTGTCGGGGACCCAGGATTTTAGAGAGCAATGAAGGGGAACGGGACGTGGATGGAGAACGTTGTGCGACTGGCTTTCCGGTTGCAGGCTCACGCAGGAGAGCGCGGAGGAAGGTGCAGAGCGCCCAGAGTGCTCGTCCAGTCATCTGGGCACTGCCCTGTAAGTGGGACCCGTCCCGATCCTGCCCGGGGAATTCCTCTAACAATGCGCTTTTGTACACAGAACTGTCTTTGCGCATTCTCCACCGCCACGGTGCACACAAAAGCCCTCTCTCCCCCTTTCCCTGACCTGGGGGGAGTTCAGAAAGGCCAGTCTGGCCAATCAGTGTCGTGTGGCCCTGCTCCTGCGGCTCCCCGGGCGGGGCAGCCCCGAGATGAGCGGGAAAGGTGGCGTGAGTCGCACAGCCCGGCCTGGCGTGGCCGCAGAGTTGCCTGGCGGCCTGGAGCCTTGATCTCCACTCCTACGTACTCATTTCCACGCTGGGGAGCCGGATGGTGTCCACATGCCCAGAGAGCAGACTCGATGTCTACCCAAAACCTTGCGGCGTTCGGAACAGCAGCTCAGACAGACGACCCTTTTCTCGGTGGCGGTGGTGAGGGCGGCGATGGTGAAGAAGGTGGTAGTGAAGGTGAAATTCTAAATCTCAGACTGCCAAGGTTCAAATCCTGCTTCCATTCACACCTCGGAGATTGAATTTCTCTGACCCTCGGTTTCTCATCTTTGAAACGGAGTGAACTGTAGTACCGAATTAGGGGGACGCTGGGGTAAGAACGAGAGACTTCGTGTAAGTGCTTTGGGCGGTGCCAGCATAGACCTCGACAGTAGAAAGGGGGATTTTACCAGAGCCTTCGTGGAGAGAATGAGGATGCCAGAGAATGCGAGGACGAAGTACAGGGCGCTCGCTCAGACTGAGAAAGCGGTGTAGGAGAGAACTCACAGCATTTGCGACTGGTTTTCCATTCTAGCTCTGCTGAAGCAGTGAGTCACTTCCCCGCAGGCCCTGCCTCCCCGGGTACCGGCGCGGGGTGTTCTGTGGCTGCAGTGGAAGCAGGCCCTGCCTCCTCCACTTGGGGTAGGCCTCGAGGCCCTGAGAATGGCTCTCTCTTTTGGAAACAGTCCCTGGGGCTGTGACAGGTGGGTTTTACAATGAGAAACTGGGCCCAGAACTCAGGCTGAGCTCTGACGGAATTCCTCCCAGCGAGGAAGCCGGTGAGCCGGCCTCCTCTTCCCGCTGCCCTGCTCTCTCCTCGCTGGTGAGCAGTACTCCGAGCTTGCGTGTCGTTTTCCAAAAACCAATTGACACTAATTGGCCGTGCCAGAAAACCATTACTGAACGTTTATAGGCTTCTCATGGATTTTTTCCTTGCCAAATTCTTGGCAGAAGTTCCCTCTCATCTTACTTACTACTCAACTTGCCAGAATCAGAAGGCCGTGGAGACTAGCGGCCTCTTTTCTCCCCAAGGAATCCTGTCACACGTGGCCCTCGAAGACGTCCACGGTGGCATCTATTCCTCCCCCAGGCCTGCCCGCTCCCCCCGCTTCTCAGAAGGATAAGGCGGAACTGTGGCTTTAGTGACTTGTCCATGCCTAAGATAGCACTGGCCATGAGACTGCCTGCTAAGTATGTGTCCCGTGAACCTAAATAAAACCGAGATGCATGCAGGTGCACACACCAGACAATTTACCAGGTAGAGTCAGGGTTTTTAGCGGTCTCACAGTTTTGCAACCACCACAATTAATTTAGGAATATATATATTTTTAAGGAATTATTTAATTTATCATTATTATTATTTTAAATTTGCTGTTTGTGCTCACCAGAGAGAGGCAGAGAGAGAGAGAGAGAAAGTGAGAGAGCAAGCCGCCAGGGTCAGAGCTCAGATTGTAGGCCAGGTGGGAGTCTAGCGCCTTAACCACTATACCACCTTATCATCCCCCAGAGAAACGCAGACCTGTTAGCAGGAATCCCCATTCCCCTCTATTAAGTAGGTTCTCTGAGTGACTCCCACAGTAGGTGTTCGGCTGAGCCATGGGTCCAGGCCACAGGGACCCTGCCGGCCGTGCTCTGTCTCCTGCCCCACTGTAGCACTGAGAATGAGAGGACCAGGGTGATCTGTGCTGGGCAGGGGTGGCCTCCCTCTCCTCCGGATTGCAGATCACCTTCCCGAGTCTCACAAAGCATGGAGTTGGCAGGGAGCCCTCTCCCAGCTGGGTCGGAACTTGGTCCAGGCAGGTGTGCTTTCTTCCTCCAGGGGGGCCTTCTGTGGGGAGATGGCGGGGCAGGGGGATGTCCTCGTCCCTGAAGGGCAGTCCTCTGTCCCTGTCAGTAGCTGTGGTGCTTCCTCTTTGTCTCAGCCCTCGGCCAGCTCAGAGTAGAACCCAGTCCCCGTCTCCCCGGAAGCCCAGGAGATGTTCCGTGGCTCCTGTGTCCTCCGCTCTGGGAAGGTCACTTCCTTAGCCTCCACAGGAGCCCGGGAGCATGTCCGCTTCATGCCATGCTCCGCCTGCGGAGCTCTGCAAGGCTGTCTCAGGGCTGTGTGTCCTGGCCAGCCGCGGGGACAGGGCCCTTCTGACAGGTGGGGAGCCGCTGCAGCTCTCTCCAGGACTGGGCCACAGTTTCTGCTTCTCTCAGATCCTTAAGCCCTCCTGGGGTCTCGTCATCCTTTCACCCAGAATCTCGGCTCAGGACAGGTTGTGGTAGGCGCCCTTCCTAGGCCTCCATGGTGCCCTCCCAGTCTCCTCTCCCTAGGCCTTCGCCCGGCCATCCTCGGAGTCTGTCCAAGACCGCAGGGTGGGGGCTGCACCGTGAGCAGACTGCAGACTTCCAGATCTCAGAATCACGACCGGCTTGTGACACTTAAGAGCCGAGATGTGATTCTGGAGTGGCGTGTTCTCTGGTGGCAAGTCTGGCTGGGAAGGCCGCTGTCCAGGGTCCCAGAGGGCAGGCCCGTGCGCAGTAGGAGGTGCCTTCCTGGGGTCTCAGGACATTCTGTATCTTGCATCATCAAGACCCCGGGCTGAGACCCCGGGGCCCAGCCGCCAGCTCAGGGGCAGCCCAGCCTCCGCAGAGCTGGGTCCAGGCGGAAGGTCGGGGATGAGTTCCTGGGTCAGCCTGGCTGCGGGGTGTGCATTGGTGCCCGCAGCCGGCTGACTGGGGA